CATGAAGGTAGAGCCCTCATGACCTAATCACCTCTTAAAGGTCCTACCTCTTAATGCTGTTGCATTGGAGATTAAGTTACAACACATGAACTTTGGAGGATGCATTCAAACCATACCATGGAGTTTTACATCTTTAGAATGGATTGCTTCGATTCATTTTCATATGTTGAACCAGACTTTTATTCCTGAGATAAACCATGCTTTCTTGTGGTATATGAATTATTTATTTTATATATGGCCAAATTTCACTTGTATTGTATAGGATTCTTATGTTTATGTTCATGAGGGATATTGATTTGTGCTTTTCTTTTTTGTATCATTTATTTTTCTGGTTTTTATATCGGGGTAATGCTGGCCTCACAAAATAAGGTGATATGTAATTTCCTGTCTTCTAGTTTCATGAAGAGATTGTGTAGAATTGATGCTATTTCTTCTTTAAATGTATGGTTAAATTTGCTAGTGAAACCATCTAGACCTGAGTATTTTGGGGGAAGAAATTTCAGTAATATTTATAGAAGGATTTAGATTATTTGTTACATTTTGGATAAGTTTTGGCAGTTTGTGCTTTTTGAGGAATTTGTTTCATCTATGTTGTCAAATTTATGTGTTTAGAATTGCTATTATATACTCTTGTCATTGTAATACCTATAAAATTTCTTTTGTTCCTGAGTTTTTATTTCAGCTATTATATTTTTAGTTCAAAATATCCATTTGATTCTAATTTATGTCTTGTTTCTTCACTGAGTGCTTCTGTTTTAAATATTTGTTCCAAGATTGCTTGTTATTGTTCATTCAAGCATTTTTTTTTCCTTATTTTTTTATTGCATTTTAGGTTTTGGGGTACATGTGCAGAGCATGCAATACAGTTGCATAGGTACACACATGGCAGTGTGTTCTGTTTGCTTTCACCCCTTCACCCACATTTGGCGTTTCTCCCCAGGCTATCCCTCCCCACCTCCCCCTCCCACTGACCCTCCCCTTTTCCCCCCAATAGACCCCAGTGTTTAGTACTCCCCTTTCTGTGTCCATGTGTTCTCATTTTTCATCACCCGCCTATGAGTGAGAATATGCGGTGTTTCATTTTCTGTTCTTGTGTCAGTTTTCTGAGAATGATGTTCTCCAGATTCATCCATGTCCCAACAAACGACATGAACTCATCATTTCTGCATTTTTATAATAGATAATTTAAGATAATATAATGTCTTATCTCATCATTCATGCCTGTTGTCTTTTTCCATGTGAATTGACATTTTTATGGTTATTTGCATACTGATTGATTGTAGTTTGTATCCTGGACATTGTGAGTGTTGTTTCGAGATTCTGTTTATATCCTTGTTTATATCCTATGGAGGTCTATATTTTTGTTTTAGCCTTTTGTGTATTTTGGTTCCAACATCAATTCAGTTTTCAAGCCTTTAGTAGTACTATTTAGGTCTGTCCTGTGTGTGTACCATCTAGTGGTCAGTCTGAGACTTTGAGGGAGGTCTACTTTCTAGTTGAGTTTCCAAATATTTGGTATGCTAATGAAGATCAAAGTAGTCACAAGTCAGCGGTAAGCCCAGGGGTTCTAATCAATTACACACTGTTGCTTTTTCAAAACTCTTCCCTCTCCTTTATCTTTTCAGTACTTTCCAGTTCCCTGGGCTCTCATTTTCTGTTTTCTCTTCAAAAACTACCCACTGTCATGGTTGCAGCATTTCCAGAAACAAGTAGCAGGAGGAGAGAGCAAGAACGAGGGAGAGAGAGAGAGAGAGAGAGAGAGAGAACAAGAACGAGAGAGACAGAGGAAAAGCTAGTATAAAGGTGTCATCCTGGGCCACTATTGCTTCTGAGCCACCTTTGCTTTTACTACGTCCACTGTGGGACCAAAGAAGCAGTAAATAAAAACCCAAGGGATTTCCCCGACAATCTCTGAATTTTAGTTCTCTTTACACTTCTTGAGCCAAAACTCCAAGACTTCTGCATCTCTGTCTACTAAACAGTGCTCATTTTGGATTACACACCGTGTTGAATTCAGGCTTCTAATACCGAATGGGAGAAAAGTAATGTTGAATTTGCAGTTGTTTAGTTGGCACTTCAAACTCTGGTGTCTTCTCTGACACCAGATTTACCTTTCCATTTTCATATAGGTGTCCATGTATTCTATCAGAGTTTTATATTTGAGTTAGTGAGAGATAAAAGGTCTGAGAATTGAACCCAACTATATATGTTTTGTAAACAGCATGTAGTTGGATCCTAATTTTAAATCTAATCTAACCACCTTGGTCTTTAATTGGAATATTTAGTCAATTCACATTTAAAGTGATTGTCAGTATAGTTAGAATAAATTCTACCATCTTTCTGTTTTCTTTTCATTATATTTGTTCTTGATGATTTCCATTTATTGTATTTGGCTTTTGTTTCCTTTTTCCCTCTTTTTTCTGCCTTTCATTATTTTATTTGATCATTTTGTATGATCCCATTTTGTCTCATGAATTTATTTATTATTTAGATACCTTTTTTTTTCTTTTTTATTTAGATACCTTTTAAGTAAACTTTTTTAGTGGTCTCCGTAAAGTTTGCAATGTACATTTTTATATAATTTGGTTTACCTTCAAATAACACTATACTGCTTCATGTGTGGTACAAGGCTGTCCCAAATTCTTTCCTTCCATTCTTTGTGTCATTGTTGTATTCCATTATTTTTTTGACAAATGCTATAAACATATAATACATTGCTACTATTATTGCTTTAAACAATCAGTTATTTAGAACAATTAAGAATATAATAAATAAAGTTATATTTTTCTTCATTTATTCATTTTGCAACACTCTTCCTTTAATTATATACATCCAGTTTTCTGACCTGTATCATATCCCTCTGTCTGAAGAATTTCCTTTAATGTTTTTTGTAAGGCAGTCTACTCATGTTGAGTTTCCTCAGTTTTTGTTTATCTGAAAAAGTATTTTGTCTTAATTTTTGAAGGATATTTTTGCAGAAGTTGGAATTCGGGATTGGCATTTTTTTCTTTCAACACTTTAAAGGTTTTGTTCCACTGTCTTTTTGCTTATGTGGTTTCTGACAAGAAGCTTCGTATAATTCTTCTCTTTGTTCCTGTGTAGGTAAGATGTTCCCCACCTACCACCTTCTTCCTGGCTGTCTTCAAGATTTTATTTTTGTCTTGATTTTCTGCAATTTGAATTTCATATGTCTGGATGTGGTATTTGGTTTGGTTTTTGTATTTACCCTGGTTGGTGTTCTCTGAGCTTCTTGAATCTGTGGTTTGGTGTCAGTCATTACATTGGAAAATTTTGGCCATTATGTCTTCAAATATTTCTTCTGCCTTATTCTTCCATCTCCTTCTTGTGTTCTAAATACATATATGTTATACTGTTTGATATTGTTCCATAGTTCCTGGATGTTTTGTGTGACCTGTCTTCAAGTTCACTGATTCCTCAGCTGTGCTGAGTCTCGACTGATGAGCACATCAAAGACAGTCTTCAGATCTGTTACTGTGTTTTTTTCTCTCCCATTTATGTATGATTCTTTCTTCTACTTTTCACACCCCTGCCAAAATTACCTATCTGATCTTGCACAACTTTTTCAATAGAGCCTTTCACATACTAATAATAGCTATTTTAAGTTTCCTAGCTGATAAAGATGAAAACAATAGACAAAAGGGACTCCAAAAGAGGGAACAGAGGGAGGGAGCAAGAGTTGAAAAACTACGTATTGGGTACTAGATTCACTATTTGGGTGATAGGTTCACTAGAAACCCAAACCCCACCATGACACAATACCTACACATATAACATGTAACATGTAACTACACATGTAACAAACATACACATATACCCCCTGAATCTATCAATCTAAAAAAAGAAAACAAAATAATCCAAATAAATAAACAAAATCCTTGTCTGATATTTCCAATATCTGTGTCATAACTGATTCTGATCCTAATGATTGTTTTTCTCTTTAGATATTTTTATTCCTTGCCTTGATTCTTCTTGTGCTGCACCCTGGAGATAATATATCTCTTACATCTCTTATAGATGTATTCCACTGTTATTTTTACTGATACTTTTTAGCCTGGTAGTGGGGGAATGGGGACCAGGGACATTCTATGCTATTCTGATTGAGTCTCAGTCTGAGACAGGCTTACCCTGAGTGTTGGAGGTGTGACCTTCACAAGTATTCCTGCCCCTCTTCCTATGTTCTAACCTAGGTGAGCCTAGCACATTTTCCTGCCCCTCCCAGGTTAGAACATGTTTTTTTCAATTTTCTCCCCCAGACATAGTGAGTTTTCACCAGTGCCCTCAGCTTCTGAAGACTAAGACTTTTTTCCCTTAGGTAAGATATATGGGCAGAGTTTCAGTGATGTTGGCCATTCTTCTCTGCCCGCTGCAGTGAGTTTCTTCCAGTACTTTCAAAGTATACTTTTTGTTTCTTTTTCCTGAATAGTAAGGCTTTTGCTTCATAGAGAATATAGGAAAAACAGTCTGTGCAGAATTTCAGCAATGGCTATTGTACTGTTCTCCCCAAGCCAGAACTACAGGATATCTTTCTCAGGATTCTTCTCAGTCTTTCTTGTCAGCACCTGGGGGAGTTCCTGGAGGAAAACTCTGCAAAGGGGTACAAAACTGCTTATGCAGCCCCTACAGGCTTCACATCATTCTCACGAGCCCATAACCAGCCTTTAGCAATTCATTAATAATTTCTGGCTGAATCTTCTTATGAGTTTGTATGTTGTTCTGTGGTATCTGCACCAGATAAACAAATGCCTGGTCCTGTGGCTCCCTCCCTTGAAGGTGCTTGTTTCTACAGGTTTGGGGTACTGCAGCCTCAGTTTTCTAGTTTTCTGATAAGTCCAAGAGAAGTTCTTAATTTTCACTTTCCCAACTTTTTTTCTTACTGTAATGGTGGGAGAGATATTCTTTACAACTCTACATTTCTGACCTAATACCAGAAGAGCATATGAGTCTGAGGATAAGCTTTTGAGGGTCTGTTTGTCTTTCAGCATCCATACCGCAGTTTACCAATTCCCCCACAATGGTGATCATGGTGGGTTTACCAGCTCGAGGCAAGACCTATATCTCCACGAAGCTCACACGCTATCTCAACTGGATAGGAACACCAACTAAAGGTATGTCTCTGAAAGCCTTTGTTCAACAACCCTATAAAAGCCACTGACTGAAAACCTTCCTTAGGTAGAAGGCCAAAGTCCTCAATACCAGAAATGCCCCATCATTATTATTACCAACATCAGGATTACTGCTATCACTGTGACTGCATTCTTATACGTTTTATAACTTCTGGAGCACATACTTTGTGCCCAACACCATGCTAGGTGCTAGGCATAGGAAAACTAGTATTCAGATTAAATGTCTTCTCTCAGGATGTTCCAAGACCTCAAAACAATCCTGTGAGTAACGTACTATTTTTATTGCCATTGCTGTTCCTGCCATACCAATATTACAACTTTTATTAGCATTACCACTTCTTTACCATTTCATAGTTGAGGAAATTAAGACCCAAGAGGTGAAGTGCCTTGTCTAAAGGCATATGGCCAGTAAGTAGGAGAACCAGGATATGAGCCCAGGTCTATTTGATTCTAAGCCTGGTACTCACTGTGCCAAGTCTAATGTACGGTTCTACTGATTGGAAGAGAAAAGAATCCCACATTAGCCCTATGGTCTCCTTTTCTCCATTCTTTTTCTCTCCTTTTTCTTGTAAATCTCAACATTCTGTCTCCCTGCCCTGCTTCCCTCTATCTCTCCCCATCTACCTTCCTTTCCCCAATTTTTGTTTCCTTTTCCCATTTTTTCTTTCCATTCATCTCTGTTCTCTTTATCTAATTCACTGGTGAGGAGTTTCCCAATGGTTTTTCATGTGTCCAAACTCCTGCTAGGCAATGGGGATACCAAAATGGATGAGACTCACACCCTGTCCTTGAGGAGTTCTGAGTCTAGCTGGGATATATAAGAATACTTCACATTATCTGGGAATTCTAGAGCAGGATCAGGGTGCTGCATGAAATCACATAGGGATTTGCTGACTGGAAAGCAAGAAAAGCTTCCTACATAGGATATGTTGGAGCTGAGTCTTGTGGGAGGAATGCGACATTGGCAGAAGGGAAGGAGAGAAGGAGCAGCTCTCATGGAGGACTGTAAGCTCTAAGGAAAATCTGCTGAGTGTAGAGGCACATGGGATACTGGCAGATGAGTTTCTGCCCTGATTCCCCTGCTTTCTTTCTTCTTCACTCCACTCAATTCTCTCAAAGGCCTCCAGAGTCATATTTCAAAGCACAAAGTTTTGTGCCTGTGGCCTCCAAAGGTCCCCTTAGCCTGCAGGTTTAAATCCAAGCTCCTTAGCCTGTTGTTCAAGACCCTCACAATTGGCTCCTTCCAGCGTCTCAGGCCTCAGCTATAGTGGATGACTCACCATGTTCCAAACATGCTCTGCCAATGCCATACTCCTGTTCAAGCTGTTCCTCTACCTGGGATGCCTTTGTTCCTGATTGCCACTGCGCATACCTGCCTGTAAAAGGCACCTACCCTAAAAAGCCTGATTCAAATGGTGAAATCTTCTCAGATCATTCCAAAAACAATTAGTTTTTCTTTCCCTCTCACTCTGTTGCATGGCTTCATATTGTCTTTGTCAGAGCATTTAATGAACTCTGTGGGAGCTCTCTGTTTACTGGTTTACTCGCTGTCTTACCTGTTGGACTGTGAGTGCCTTAGGGTCCCCATAATGAAGATCGAGCTAATCTCCGAGACCCAGAGCTATACCCTGCTTCACAGAGTAGGAATGAAAAAGTATTTGTTAAATGAATGAATGAAATGTTAATTATTTGGCTGCTTATCCTCTTTCTCCTCCTTTCCTTCCCTCCTCTCTAGTTTTTCATCATTGTAAGTGGGAAAGTATGGCCTAGAGATTTAGATTTAGAATCTCCCTCCTAATATAGAAAAATAAAATAACTTTAGACTAGAAATCAGGAGGTCCAGTCTATTCTGTCACCAGCTCACTCAGTGTTTGACCCTTGGTGATTCATTTTACTTCCTAGATCTCTGTTTCTTCATCTTTCCACTGGAGTAGGGCATTTTAAGGATTGGCGTTTGTGACAAAGTAGAATAATGGAAAGACCATTGGCTATGGGGCCAAATGGACCTGGGTTTGAATCTGAGATCTCTACATACAGGAAATAACTTTCACAGTTTCCTCATTTATAAAATGGTAATAGTGATCTCTACTTTGCAGGGCTGTTGTGAGAAATAAATAAACTGGTAGCCATAATTGTAGTTTTTAAAGCACATTTTATAGCTACAAATTATACCTTCTTCTACCTCTGAGGTCCCTCCCAGCAGGGACATTTTTTGGCCACAGGCATCTTCCCAACCTCTTCACTGGCACTCCCTGCTTTCAGTGTTTAATTTAGGCCAGTATCGACGAGAGGCAGTGAGCTACAAGAACTATGAATTCTTTCTTCCAGACAACATGGAGGCCCTGCAAATCAGGAAGTAAGTACTCGATATTTTAGGAACCTGTGCTATCTCATGGTGAAAGGCCCTTATTAAGATATTGGGGGAGTAGGGCAGAAAAATCTGGACCAGAAAGGGAGGCCTTTTAGACTCTCAAACAGTAGTTGGAACAGCCCTTCCATTATCCTGCCCAAAGCCTGTTTCTTGTCATAACCATCCACATATCAAGAACCTTTAATGGTCTTCTACTTCTGACAGGAGAGAGTAGAAACTTCTCAGCTTAGCATTTGAGAGAAGAATCTCAATAGCTTGGCCCACTCTAGTTTCTCCATTCTTATTGGTTCAACCTCAAGGTCTGTCTACCCTACAAGACTCTGAATACTTACAGAACAGATTCTAGGCCTCATGCCCTCATTATAGAACCCAACAGTGAGTAATCATTACGAACACTTTTGCTGAAAGCATAAATCCATTGCCACTGTCATGCCTGTGTGTTACCTCTGCCAGGAATGCCTTTTACTTCACAGACCATATGCTCTACCTGGGTTCATAAAACAGTTCAGCTTGAGTTCCATTAGCTCAAGGATTGGAGCCCTTAATATGGCTTCTGTCACTGCTCAGCTTTTCCGGATTGTGTCACTTTATACCTGCCCCTAAGCTGTGTAAACTGTGCACACAGAGCCACTTTCAACTCTTTGACCCCTCTGTGTTTAGTATGGTGCCTAAAGAATAGGGCACCCTGTGCAGATGTAGTCGAGGACATGAGTGATGGTACAGAAGATACTGCAGACAAAGAGAGAGATATCCATCCTGGGGGATAAGGGTTGTCTCTTTTTCTTTCCTGGTCTATTTCAGGCAGTGCGCCCTGGCAGCCCTGAAGGATGTTCACAACTATCTCAGCCATGAGGAAGGTCATGTTGCGGTAAAGAAATTTTTACTTTTCCCTTGGGTATCTGCTAGGAAGGGGATTAGCTAACATGTCCCGAACCTTTACTGTTGTTCTGAGTACTTTGTATATATTAATAATTTAATTTCATGCTCCCCCCTTGAGATAGGTATTGTCATTATACCCTATTTCAGAGCCCAGAAGGATGGCTCACAGAGGCATTAAATAATTTCCCCAAATGGTACAACATATACCTGGCAGGGCCAGAAATGGAATCCACGTTGTGTAGCTTCAGAATCCCCACTGTTACCACTGTTTACTACCAGTCCACCCCCAATAAGTCAGCAGGACTACATTAAGAGTTTAAGACTGAAGTACTAACAGTTTTGAGTTCTAGAGATTTACCTAAATATCTACTCAATTTAAAATCATAGACCTTTGGGTTAGGATTTGCAAATTCTAAAAGGGAAGGAGATTCTCAAATACGCAAATGGTCCAATCTCAGGTGCTGAGGACAGGGAATTGCTTACTGTTGTTGTGGACTTCTAAAGTGATATGGAAGGAAGAAGCTACAGCTAGGAATTGAGAGAAGCAGTTCTAGCTCTGCTCTGTCAGCTCCTCACAGTGACTTTGGTCAAGGCAAGTTCTTCTAGGCCTCAGTTACCTCACCTATAAAATGACCCTAATGAAAACCCACAATTTCCTCTTGCCTTATTACACTCACAAGGTAGCATATATTTCTGTACAGACAGTAAGGGCCCAATGTGTGCTTGTGAAATTGTCATAAGCCAATTCTGACTCCTTCTATCCTTCAAAACTTTGTTCAAGTTCTACCTCCATATGGAAGCCCTCCACTTAGCACAGGGATGGGCAAAGAGTAGATATTCTACTAGCACTAGATTCAGAGTAAGCCAGTCTCATTACCTGCCTCTAGGTTTTTGATGCCACCAACACTACCAGAGAACGAAGGTCACTGATCCTGCAGTTTGCGAAAGAACATGGTTACAAGGTATGGTAACACTCCAACTCTTATCTAGAGTTTGTTTCTCCAGCACAAACCCCTAAGAAAGGCAAACTAGGGGACTCAGAGCAGCCAAATCAGCTACCATAAACTCAGCATTTTAATTTGGTTTTCTAACTTTCCAGGATATAGCCAGAAGCAGCCAATAGAACGAGAAAAGAGGGATGCCACATTAGGCAATAGAAGATGACTATAGACAGGCTGGCTATGGGGAAGGAGTAGAGAGAGTCACTACAGAAAGCTTATATAAGACCTAAGCCTAGTAAAGATATAAAACAATCTGGGGCCATTCAGTTTAGAGCCCATATGCCTCATGAAACTCAAAAGCCTCAAGACACCACTGTATGAGAGCATTATATTGTCAGAGATGCCCCTGGAGATGACTTAGAGCTACTGAAAAGGAGTAAAGCTATGTTCAGCTCCTACCAAACATAATTTCCTGCTGGAAATCTCTTTTCTGTTTCTTTTATAGGTCTTTTTCATTGAGTCCATTTGTAATGACCCTGGCGTAATTGCAGAAAACATCAGGGTAAGGAGCACCAGTTACCTTTCCACTTTGCTCTGCCCTAGTCTTAGATCATGCCTAAGGCACCTCTGTGAGATTAAAGAAAGAATTCCTCCCTGATCTTCTCCTCCTAGTTTGCATAGGAAGCATTCCCTAACCATCCTGGCTTACAATGACTCTATTAATTTTAATGAAGCCAACATATATAGTGTCCTATGTATGCTCCAGGTACCAAGCTTGACTGTCATTAATTTTTCACAACAAACCTGTATGTTAGAGGTTATTTCCATGTTAGAGAGAGGAAACTGAGGTTAGAAAGGTCCAAAAAGAGAAATGAATTGTCAAAAATTCATACAGACAGAAAGGGATGAAAATGGGACTGGACCTCAGGCTTGGCTGCCTGCCTCAAAAGCCTTCATTTTGTATTCTTCCCCAAAATTCATACCAGCACTATCCCTGCTCTTAGATTCTTGGCATGTGATCTAGAACTAGGTCATTTACCACATTTTGTTGTTCCCTATTTCATCAAGTTACTGGAGCTCAAGAACAGAAGAGACCTTAAAGGTAATTTTCTGCTACCCTCCATCAGATACTTGAAATCTTATCTAAATGTGTATCTGGATTTTTTATACCTGCAATGAAATGGGGCCCGTTGCTTTCAACAAATACTGTCCAGTCAAGCTGGAATCTGCCTCCCTATAGTTTTTATTAATCGGTCATTTTTTTAACCTTTTAGGACATATGGCAGGTCCAATTTCTATCTTCCCTCTTCATCCCCCCGTCTATCTATCTACTGATTCAACAGAAATTGAATATATACCTGGGCTTGGCATTAGAGACATAGATATGGAGAATCCTTCCCTTGAGCACATAGTCTAATAGTCTAGTGAGGAAGACTGGCAAGTATATATACAGAACTCTGAGCTGATGTGATATGAAGGAACAGAGGAAGCTTTGGGAACACAGTGCTGAGGGCCGAACTTTGCATGGGGACAGAAATCAGGGAAGCCTTCCTAAGGGAGGCAAAATTAAAATGAATGGCACCTTGAAGAACACATCGGAATTTGGTGGGTGAAGAATGGAAAATCAGGATATAAGCATATACTAAGTATGGCATCTCCAGAGAACTATAAGTAACTTAAATTGGCTAAAACCAAACGTGTAGAGGAATAGGGGAGCCATGGGAGATAAGGATGAAGAAATAATATGGGGCCCAATCGTGACAAGCCGTGAGCCACCTGCTAAAATAATTCACACTTTTTTCTAAAAGGTATGATGAAATGTGGAAGGGTTTTAAGCAGGAGAATACTTTGGCCAGATGTTCATATTAGAAATATCCTTCTGGCTGCCAATATGGTGAATACATTAGAAGTAAAAAGAATATAGACAAAGTAATTGAGCACAAAGCTATAGTGAGCACAAACGAGAGAGAATGGATATTTAGAGGAAATTATAGAGTAGAGAGGATTTGGTACCTACTAAGAAGTGAGGGATGACAGAAAGACAGATATCTAGGATGACTCCCAGGTTCCATTTAGGATCAGATGACTGGGTGGATAAAAGTGCCAGTACCTAAGATGAGGACTGTGGAGAAGACAGCGGGTATTGGTGGATTAGGAGAGGCCAGTCTTCAGAAATCCGAAGACAGCACGTCATAATCTTCTGGTAAACACTTGATACATGTAAGCCATAATCACCCCTGGCCAAGAGCTCTAGTTCCTCTTCTTCAGCCATTTCTCACGTCACAATTTCTGGTCCTCTTATAAATGTTCTTCTTTTATAAGCATCGTGTGCTCTGGCACTAAGTATAGCGTAACAGGCCTAGTTCGACCACACAGAGATTAGGAATGAGGAGTCACACAATCCAGCTTCTTTTCAATTGGTTGATTTTTGTAAACTTGGGCAAGATGCATTCTCCAGGTCTCGATTTCCTCATCTTTATAATGAGGGATCTTGTACTCAATAGTCTCTGAGGGACCTTCCAAAGAAAACCATCAGACACTCTGTCTCCCAGTGTCTCCCTTGATACCTCTATTCTCCCTGCTCCCAGCAAGTGAAACTTGGCAGCCCTGATTATGTAGACTGTGACCGGGAAAAGGTTCTGGAAGACTTTCTAAAGAGAATTGAGTGCTATGAGGTCAACTACCAACCCTTGGATGAGGAACTGGACAGGTAAGAGCCAGCACCCCAAAGTCAAGGTCTAGATCTTTAGCCCAGTTTTGATATCCTGTAGGATCTGGGGAAAATATCCTTCCTTTCTGGGCCTCAACTTCTCTAGCTGTAACATCAAGAAATTGAACTTGATGATCTTTCTTTTTTTTTTTTGAGACAGAGTCTTGCTCTGTCACCAGGCACCAGGCTGGAGTGCAGTGGCACGATCTCCGCTCACTGCAACCTCCGCCTCCTGGGTCCAAGCAATTCTCCTGCCTCAGCCTTCCCAAGTAGCTGGGACTACAGATGCACACCACCACGCCCAGCTAATTTTTTATATTTTAGTAGAGACAGGGTTGGATCCTTTCAGCTCTGATTCCTTGATCTGTAAGGTGTTCCTAAGATGATGAAAATAGTGCTTTCCTGAGCAATATGAACAGTTCAGGACCCTGGGAACAAATGCCCCCCTTCTGTGGATATTGTGATTATTATTACAAAAGTGTTCTTCACACATGAATGACACTTCAGTTTCCAAACATGTTTACCTTCTTTCTTGCATTTAATCCCCTAGAACTCCTGTAAAGGAGGCTGAGATAGGTCTTATGATCATAAAACGTCAAGAAAAAGAAATTGAGTCTGAGCTGAAATTACTTTCCCAAGCTCCTACCACAGTTCAGAAGTAGAGCTAGGATTCTAATTACATGTTCTGTCTCCTAGTCACGTCTCTTTTTCACAACATTCCCATGTCTCATCAGTCAACAAGTATCTGGATCCTTTGGGGTGTGGTATATGTAGGGGGTATAAATAGGTGCAAAAGAGGTGAGTTCTATCCTCGGGTAGCTTCTATAGTGCTTTGACATATGAGAAGACCTATAAAAAACAGGAAATGCTCTGTCATAATATCAACTAAAGATAGGAGAGAGCGGATATGAGTTTTAGATGTAGAATGTTCCCAGAACCCTGCACTCTTTGAAACAGTGTTGCAATGAGAAGAGATGCCAAGTGAGAAGTATAAAGAGGTTTCAAATGGTCATCACCACTCTAAGAAATTTAAAGAGTGGCCTTACCCAAATGAAGTACCAAGAGATGAGCACTGTTATTGCCCCACTCTTTAGATGGAGAAACTGAGATCCAGATCAGGTCAAAGGCTTACCCTGGGCTACACAATGAATGAGTCAGTAGCACAATATATACTCGAACCCATATCCCAATTGGGTAGATCGTTCATTGTTCAGGCACTCTGGTCAAGGGTACACTCACTTCTCTCACCAAGATGTGTGCTGAAGTAGGGCTGTGTGACCCTGAGGAAAGTATGACTTTTTAAAATTATCAAAAAGGCACAACATGGGCTAAGAGCATATGGTGAAAGGAGCCTGAAGGCTGGGATGGGAGGTGTAAGTGAAAGAAAGGCATTGACAAAGCCCCAGCCCTGGGCCTAGACTCCTACAGGTGCTAGGTTGCTTTTCAATGAATCAGTTTGGGCCAGAAGAAGACAGATCTACAAGTTCAGCTTTATGTCATCTTTTTTTTCTTTTTTTTTGAGACAGCGCTCTTGTTACCCAGGCTGGAGTGCAATGGCGCGATCTCGGCTCACCGCAACCTCCGCCTCCTGGGTTCAGGCAATTCTCCTCCCTCAGCCTCCCGAGTAGCTGGGATTACAGGCACGCGCCACCATGCCCAGCTAATTTTTTGTATTTTTAGTAGAGACGGGGTTTCACCATGTTGACCAGGATGGTCTTGATCTCTCGACCTCGGGATCCACCCATCTCGGCCTCCCAAAGTGCTCGGATTACAGGCTTGAGCCACCGCGCCCAGCCTTATTTATTTATGGAGACAGAGTCCTACTCTATCACCAAGGCTAGGGTGCAGTCTCGCAATCTCAGCTCACTGCAACCTCTGCCTCCCAGGTTCAAGCAATTCTCCTGCCTCAGCCTCCTGAGTAGCTGGGACTACAAATGCCTGCCACCACGCATGGCTAATTTTTGTATTTTTAGTAGGGACAGGGTTTCATCATGTTGGCCAGGCGGGTCTTGAACTCCTGACCTCAAATTAACTGCCCACCTTGACCTCCCAAAGTGCTGGGATTACAGGCATGAGCCACCGCACCCAGCTGACTTAAAAGGTTTAAACACTGGATATTTCAAAAACAGCATTGAGGTAGTCAAAGTGGAAAAATATAAAACAAGAACTTGGGAGGACCTCCCCATATTCTATAGTTTATAATTTTTATTTTAAACAAATTTTTTTAATTATTTAAAAATTTTTAATTTCATTTAAAAATTTTTTAAATTACTTTCAAATTTTTAAGTAAAATTAAAAATTCGGATGGGGGTAGGCATTAGCTACTCTACTGTTTTTGGTGTTGAACACCTCTAAATGACTTCACATGATCCTGGTTTCAGAAAAGGCTTCCTAAAGAGATTGAATGTGCTGGCTCTTGAGGTATGAATGCATAGCAGCTCAACTTTGGAAATCAAGCAAAGAGAATAGCACTTTGTAAGTGCCTAGTTAAATCTAAACAAGAGTAGAGAAATACAGAAAATATTCCAAGTGTGATAGCAACGGCATGGAAACAAGAATGAAACAGAGAAGATATGGGTATGGGCATGGGACCATAAAGTAAGGCCACCTGGGGCCAGTGTGAGAAGGCAAAACTAGAGAAGATCAGATTAAGCTGAAGAATTTGGCAGGTCCTAGAGCCTCAAAGGACCTAGTAGTTAGGCAACAAGTTTGCATCAGATATATTCTACCCCTAGGCTCTGGTCCTAGAAGAAATGATTAGAGAGGGGAGCATTCTGGGGTTCTTCTTCCCGAGAAGGTGTGTGCCTCAGTTTCTTCACCTATGAAACAGAGACGATAATCTCTGCTCTGTAGTACTATTATGAAGATTCATGCGCTTAAAAGTTCCCACTCCCTACCAGATGCTCAGAAAATGTTCAACAAATAACAACTGCCCTGTGGAAGCCATTGGACACAGATGGGCATGATGAGGATGGTGCAGCCATAAAGGGGTTCTGTAGGAAGATCTCAGGAGAGGCTTTCTGAAACCAAACCTATCAGCACCCTTACCTGCCTCGGGTTTGTGCAGCTCTTTCCATTCACTTGGTTTTGTTCCCATGCAATCAGGGTTGCTGGTGTCACCCCATTGCCCCAGCTTTCCACTCCTTTTCCCAGGGATCTCTCTGAACTCTGTACAAGCCAACAACTAAAGGATTTAATGCTTGGTACAGCATAGACCTCAGAAGTCTTACTCCATGTTTCTAGTCTTCTGATTATTCACTCTACCCTCCAGCTTCTACACAGAATGGTGGTTGAAGAGTTTGATTATCACTCAGTGTACAGGTATTAGTTCATGACAGAGCAAGGAATTGAGGAGACAGTAAGGAACTTGGGCCAAGGACCACAAGTTCCCCAATGATGTTATGGACCACCTCTGTATCCCCATACCCCACTACTTGGCACACCTTAGAGTGAGTGACACTGTTTATGTAGTGAATGTTGAGCACTGATCATGTGTTTCCAAGTATATGCTCCTGACTGGCCAAAGAGCTCCCAAAGCACAGACACTGGGTCTCCATGCCAAGCACAGTGCCTAGGACAGAGGAGTATGTTTACAGTTTGTTTGTTGACTGCATAGAAAAGAGGAAAATAAGCCAGGCCAACCCCCCCTTCTGAGTGAGGAGAGAGACATACACATTCACAGACACAGACACATATACATACAGATGCAATGTGGTAGCCGTGTGTAGAGTATAAAGGACAATATGTAGCAGAGGCTAAAAACAAAAGAGGGGTGAAGAGCTCAACTCAGGATCAGAAAGGGTAGGGGAGTGAACAAGTCAGGAGCTGCCAGTAAGATATTGGAGCTAGCCAGGAATGCAAAGGATTGCTGCTTCTCTGACTATGTCAGGGGGTGAACCACAGAACAGAGAATCCAGCTGCCTGTAATAGGATGAGTGAAGGTGAAAAGACAGTTTGGCTCAAGCTGAGGCTGAAGAAAGGAGACATGGCAGATGGTAGCATGCAATGAGCTCCTTTGGTTGGCCAGTAACCAAGTCTCTAGAACAGGTACTCGGAACAGGGCAAGGCATGGCATCACAATAGGTGACAGCTGGGTTGTGGAAGAGGCTTGAAAGGGTATGTGGTTTGGGCTTTCTCTTGGGGTCAACTCTACCACCATTAGCCCCTGAGCTGCCCTTGCTCCTGCTTGGGTCTGGCCCAGCCACCTGTCATACATCAAGATCTTCGACGTCGGCACACGCTACATGGTGAACCGAGTGCAGGATCACATCCAGAGCCGCACAGTCTACTACCTCATGAACATCCACGTCACACCTCGTTCCATCTACCTATGCCGGCATGGTGAAAGTGAACTCAACCTCAGAGGCCGCATCGGAGGTGACTCTGGCCTCTCAGTTCGCGGCAAGCAGGTAGGGAGGGCCTCATACACCCAGATGGGTTGGTTGGGCTGTCCTAGGTGGGCTGGAGGTGTCGTAGTGGCCACATTCTGGGTTCTAAGATGGGAGGACCCAGGGATGGGGTAGAAGCAGATTCCATCACTCCTGCTCTTCCACTCCTCAGCCACTCAGTCTTGACCCAGCTGCCGAATGGCTCCCAGTGCCACCTGTTCTGCAGGTCTAAGAGCTTGGCCCTGGCACCCAAGGCCTTCCCAAAACCAGCTGCTCCATTACAGTGACTCCCTTGGCCCTGTCTGACTGGTCCCCTCATCTTTCTCATGAAAGATATGCCTTTGCTGGTATAGCTCCCCCACCTATTCTACCCTCTTCTGTCTCCTCTGTCAGCAGGTGACTGTCAGTAGCACAGAGAGCTGCCCTGAAGGACCCACCCTTGAATCACTCTTCTCCCCAACTCTGCACTCCCCACCTCACCCCAACACAGGTGTCACACTGGCAGCCCCTGTCCCAACCTATAACTGTGTCCTCCTTGCCCTCCCCACTCCCAAGGCCCAGCGCCAGCTCCATGGTGTGGTCCAGGAAGCCCTCCCCATCCTCTCCTCCCTCCCAGGTGGGTTGCCATGCCCTGGGCTCCAGCTCTCCCAGTACTGGCCCATGTGTGGCTCTCTTGGCCCAAGTCTCTCCCCCCAGCCCAGGACAGTGACCTGCACATTCTGGATGCTGGCTGGAATAAAGGGATCGATTTCCACAGCATCTGATCCGCACCTGGGCTTGTTAGCACAGGTATTGTTCCTGCTGGCAGGACTGCTGGGGGTGGGGCAGGTGGGAAATGAAGTGCAAGGAGGACAGTTGTTGTCATGGTTGTCATTTATTGTCGATTGTCAGACACTTATGCACAGTCACGGTACCATCTGCTTCCCATGTGTGGCTCACTTCATCACCACAGCTCCATGGGGTGGGCATTCCTGCCACCGGCTTATGGATGAGCAAGCAGAGAGCAGCTCTGGGGCAGGTGGCCAGGATGAGACAGAGCCAGAACTGAAAGCCGGGTCTACCTGCCTGTCCTCAGCTCCCCCACTGGAGAGGTGGGGGTCCCAAGGCAAGGCGCTACCCAGATGGCCGTGTCCTGGTGGCTCCTTTTCTGTTACCTCCAGACTGGCAGCCTCCCCTGGAGGTAGACTCTGACTTGTAACTCCCCCATGTCCCGCTCCTCAGAGCAGAGTCAGAGGCTGCTGGAGGCGTGACCCAAGCCCATGGCAGCCCCCGCAGCCAGGGGTGTCTCAGTTGGAGCCAGTCCAGCCCTGCCCACCAGCTCGAAGCCCAGATGGACACGTGGCCACCTCCACAGGGCATGCCTCCCAGGCCACAAACCTGTATGTGTGTCCATGCACACAGCCGGCGCCACCTTCATGCTCATTCATCACGGAGCACCAGGCCCAGTTTACAAAGCATGTCCCCATCGAGGTAGCTCTCACTTGCACAGCGCCCACTGCACACCAGGCCTCGGTCTGGGCGCTCCCCAGCCACTTTCTAAAGTGCGGCCCCCGGAGAGCAGGCTGAGTGAGCCAGTGCTCTATGGGTATGAAGCCAGTGATGGACAGGGATGTGTCTGCGGGCAAAAGGGACCATGTAAGGGAGCTGGAGGGGTTTAACCTACAGCTCCTACCTCCCAGTCAAGGGCTCCTTCCACCAGAGCACGCTGACTGCTGACTCATGTCCATAATGAAATGTATGTATGAAATGCCCATTTCCACATATATAAATGTGTGCCTGGACCTATGCACCTGTGCACACATTCCTAACACATGCCATCAGTGGAATTAGCAACACACGTTTACACAGAGGAGCGAATCAGTAGCTCCCTTCATGGTTCCCCTCGGTGCTGCCAGTGTTTCCCTCACAGGACTGGCCGTGTCTTTAGAGCAATAATACCCCAGCACCCAGCACAGGGGCATGACCACTCAATACATGTGTGAATGCCCTTGGAACCTGGGTATCAGGAACCCTGCTTAAGCAATAAATTTTCACAGAGTCAAAGAGAAATGTCTCCCAAATCCCACACCTCCTACTTCCAGTCCATATTCTAGGTACCCCCAACCCTGGAATTCTTTGCCCTTATTGTCTAGAGTCCACTTTCAGTTCCTACATGGGCCTGTTCCAGTGTCTATCCACCTGAGGTCAGGTTATATCACAGGACCAAGGGAATGCTGTTTGTGGAGGATGGGGATCAGGGAGGTGAAAATGTGGACAAAACTCGGTCATGTGACTTGGTTATCCACAAGCACGTACTAAAGGCACATAGAAGTGCAGGATAGAGCCAGAAATGGAGAGATAGACTGTGCATGGAGTGCCTCCATTGGTCCTCTTGTCTCAGGCTCCACAAATTTTAGAGGTGGGTCTGTTTGAATGAATGAATAACCAAGTAGCGGCTTTGGTGAGCAATCATCAGTGAACACACACACACATACACACACACAGACGATCTTTTCTGTTCCCTTGGCCCACCATCACATGGGAAAGAGTATGGCTTTGTATAAATTTGGAACATTTAAACTCTTTGCTCTTGCTTGTTCATCACCACTCAATTTGTGGCAGATCTAAGCTTGTTCTCATGGCCACCATGTTCTCTCTCACCTCTCCTTTTCCCCTTCTCTCCTCCTCTGCATCCCCACACCCTAGTATGCCTATGCACTGGCCAACTTCATTCAGTCTCAGGGCATCAGCTCCCTGAAGGTGTGGACCAGTCACATGAAGAGGACCATCGAGACAGCTGAGGCCCTGGGTGTCCCCTATGAGCAGTGGAAGGCCCTGAATGAGATTGATGCGGTGAGATGCATGGGGTGAAGCTCCTGTGTGGGGGGAGTGGCTTGAGACTGGGATTATCCCCTGAGTTGCCTCTGCTCCAGCCTCTATGGAGGACCTAATTAATTCAACAAACATTTTTGACAACTAGCCATGTGCCAGACCTTATTCTATCTTGGGGATCCAGTGAAGGCCAGAATAGACAAAGTCTCTGCCCTCATCCTAAAGACAGATAGTAAATAGGACATTACATCTCAGTGCGACAAAAGGCTATGAGAGGAGAGGTACAAGGGATTATGGAGGATCAAAAGGTGAGGGTGCTCCTGACTTGACTTGGTGGTGGGGGATTTACAAGGAAAGCTTCCTGCAGAAAGCTAGAGGTGATATAAGAAGGAGGCAAGATGGTCTGGGGAATGGAAATAAATTTAATTCAGGGACAGAAAACAGTTCATATGTGAAGACCCAGAGATAAGAAGAGAGCCTGGCAAGTTCAGGGAACTGAAAGAAAGAATAGCACAGAGGCTGGGACTGCAACAGTGAGATCTGGAGAAAAGGGAAATGAGGCTGGAAAGGAATTCAGGCCACCAGGCTTTACAGTTTATGTTGAAGGATTCAAATGCTGCCCTAACAACAATGGGAAGCCATTGATGGGGTCCACATCAAGGAGGAGTGGTCAATACAATGCACATTTTTTAAAGAAAGCTCCCTCTGGGCATGTGTGGAAACTTGGTGGGAAGAAGGCCAGTATGAACATGTAAACCAGTAAAAAGTTGATTGCATTAGTCTGGCAAGATGTGGGGGCATGTTGGACCAGAGTAGTGGCGTTGGAGATGGAATGAAGAAGGACTTTGGGAATGTTTCAAAGGTGGAATCAGACCAGGTGCAGTGGCTCATGCCTGTAATCCCAACACTTTGGGAGGCCTAGGTGGGAGGATCACTTGAGCCCAGGAGTTGGAGATCAACCTGAGCAACATAGTGAAATCCCATCTCTACAAGCAATTTACAAATTAGCTGGGTGTGGCAGTGCATGCCTGTAACCCCAGCCACTCAGAAGGCTGAAATAGGAGGATCGTTTGAGCCTGGGAGGCTGAGGCTTCAGTGAGCCGTGATCATGCCACTGCACTCCAGCCTGAGCGACAAGCAAGACCCTGTCTCCGAAAACCACATTAAGGTGGAGATAACAGGACTTGATGGTGCACTGGCTGTAAGGGATGAGGAAGAGGGAGAAGTGAAGGACCCAACCCTGGTGGTATAGCAATTGCTCTTCAGGGTTAGGTTCTTCCATGAGCTCTTTGAGAAAGGAGCTGTTTCCTCTCCACTGTTTACCCGCACTGTAGGTACAATGGCACTGGGCAGCAGTGCACAGGTTAAGATTGTTAGGCATCAACATAAAAGCTTTACCACAGGTATAAATAACTTGCGTGTGGGTAGGTTAACTTACTTGCCTGCTAGATATGCCTCTGTAGAAACAGACATGTATGTGTGTGTACATTCATACATATGAGTATATAAATATAGAGGTACAGAGATACACATGGTTAGAAAATGGCTATACAGCATTGTTCTGTATACCACATACATTTGCTATAAAATATATGCAAGCAAATGTGAAATTTCTTTATGATAAGTTTGGTGGCTGCTTATTTCTGGCCCACATGTGGCATAAACATTTATTGAACCCCTCCTTGTTTCAGGTTCTGGAGTGGTGCTGGAGGTAGAGATTGATCTGATTCATTCCTGTCTTCACTGAATGTTCAGGCTAAATAGGGTGGACAGAGGAAGAAACAGAGAAATAGAGAAGAGCATGTGTGATACAGACTCTGATAGGCAAGACTATGGGTGCACGGAAGTTGGGGCAGGATGCCTAACTCAGCCATGATCTACCTAGAAGAAGTGATACCTAGCTGAAGCCCCAGGTCTGAGTAACAGTGAACCAAGTAGAAAGAATCAAGAATGACAATCCAGGCAGAGACACAGAGATCGGAAACTTCACAAACAAAGAGGGTATTTTATGTGTGTGGAAATGCTAAGGTTGTAGTAGTACAAATGGAGAGGGAGGAAAAAAGAAATCAATTTGAGAGAAATTTAGGAGGTAAAATCTCAGGAATTGGCTCTGAGTCATGAATGAGGAAGAAGCAAGAATTTAGAATGATGATAAAGCAGAAATTTAAGTTTCTGGTTTATTTTCCATGATTGCTACTAATATTAATACTTGAGTCTATTGACTGAGTCTTTAAAATGTCCCTTGCACATTCTGTACTAATATCTTTTACTTACATTTTTCCAGTATTCAAAACACTTCTATGAAGTAGTTCTAATTCTCCACATTTTGCAGATAAGGAAAGTAAAATTCAGAGAGGTTAAGCAATTTGGTTCAATAAGGAGTCAATGACCATTTTCACAGGCAACAGTCTTCCAAGTACTCCTCAGAATAGAAAGTTAAAGCCAATCTGGAAGGACCTTGAGTACCCGGCAGGGGACACTGTCTTCCATGGGCAGTGTGGGTTGGAGAAGTTTCACACTGCAGAGATGTTTGTGGGTTGTGGTAGGGGTTTACTTCCTCACCCCTGACGGGGGAATGGTAGATGGGCCCAATAGACAACAATCAGAGGCCACTGGCCCCCTACAGTGAGATTTCATTGGAATCCACATACCCAGAAGGAAACTTTAGAAACCCATCACTTTCCATCACCATCAGCAGTCACCTCACCTCTGGGAGTTTCTCCGTAGACTTGGAATCTCTCATAAGCTCCTGAGGAACTCATTCTCTGAGCACTCCATTCATTTTTTGAGTGAAAAGAGTGTATCTCCCCCAAATCCACTCTGAAACCATTAAGAATTTACTGATTTTTCCTCTCTGAGATGTCTGTTGTTACCTATTTCTTTATCTGCCAGAGTTCCAAAAGCAGAGGACTTCAGACACAGGCACACAGATACTCTCACATATACACCAGAGACATAATGAGAGACATATACATTAACAGACACACATGCTACAGACACACTAAGACCTGCATGGAAATACCACATGGACACATTCTCACATGCTCAATTGTACACACACACATACACTCAAGCACACAACATATGCTGAGACAAATACACAAACACAAGGCATAAGGCCTTAAACATACCACAAGTACATATCATGGGCATGCTGTACACAGACTTGTAAACACAGCCACAAATCCTTATGCCCATAGGTTTATAAAAATACATACTTATATGTATAATGTACACCTACATACCTATCTGTACAATCATAGAAAAACATCATACACTCAGCCTGAAAACATGTCCACATACACTCAGTGTCACATCCACACAGCCACACACCTCCTGCACACACACACACACACTTATAGACAACAGGCACAAACCCAGAGCTGTGTTCTCAGAGACTCAGGTGCTCATGTGCTACTGTTCCACGATCATTGAAGAATTATGGCAAAGGCTCTGTGGAATTTCATCTTGTGAACACTTCTACCCCCAAATACTTTTTCTCAGGGTGTCTGTGAGGAAATGACCTATGAAGAAATCCAGGAACATTACCCTGAAGAATTTGCACTGAGAGACCAAGATAAATATCGCTACCGTTATCCCAAGGGAGAGGTAAGGTTTGGAGGGGTAGCCTAATGCCTAGGACTACTCTCCATTGGCTTCATTGAAACTGCCAGGATTCTTCAGTTGTCTGGCCAGCTTTAGAAACAGAGTAAGCATATCTTGCAGCAGCTACCATCCCACAAGGCACATGATTATCTGGCCCTTGACTGTCTTAGATTCTTGGCTATAAGCAACAGATCCATCCCTTTCTTTTAAAAGCTACATAATTTTCTTGCTTACTTGCTTTCTGCTTCCTGGACCTTGTCTCTTGTATTCCTTCATGAAGACACTTTAAATAGTTCAACATGCTCTGATTTCCTGATATTTTGTTGCCAAGTTGCCTAAAGCTCCAGCCTCTCTGGCAAGTTGACATTGTCCTAAGGGACAATAATTTAATCAACTTCTTTGACACCACATGAACCAGACCATCAGTTCCCTATCCCCATATGAGATGAGTATTCATTGCTTTCAATCAAGCCTCCATTTAGCCAGTTCCACATTTTAGAGCATTTATTAGTTATACTTTATTTCTGATATAAATTCCTGGGAAATGTTATCAGAAAAGAAGAACATCTGGGAAGATAAAACAGTAGATAGTCTGTTCAGTCACACACGTTCACAGTTTTTATCTTCATCCTCAGAGATGACATTATAAAATTCATCTTAATTTGCCCTCATTTTCCTTTAGGTACTTAGAGGCTATGTTATTCGAGGTATACAAACTTAAAGCAATTATATCTTCTCAGTGAATTGCATTTTATTATTACATAGTGACCAAACCTCCTTCCTCCATAATCCTTTCTGCCTAAAAATGTATTTTATCTGATATTAATATAGCTATACAAGAATCAGTGACTTCTGGTAACTGCTTATCTAGTTCACTTTTAGCTATTCATTTACTTTCAACTTCTCTGCGTATCTTTGTTTTGTGTCTCTTATAAACAACTTATAGATGGGTTTTGTTGTTTTTAATCCCAACTGAAAATATATGTCTTTTGAATGGTAAGTTTGGTGTAATTTTCTTGTAATTACTAACATTTTTAGTTAGTTACTATTATCTTGTCTTGAGCTCTCTGCTTAATTTTTTCTCTTTTCCTGCCTTCTTTAGAATTCATAAAGTTTTTATATCCATATTTAAGTTATATAATTTGTTTCCATTCATTTAGAGATTACCCTTAACATTTTAAAATTTTTTCATTGTGATTCTTTCAATTTTTAGTGGATATCTCAGTAAGGATGTAAGGCCAAATGTTGAATTTTTAAATCACTCATATTTTCTCACTGCTATTATGCAACCAACTTGAATCCTTAACATTTTAATATTAATTATTAACAAAATCTAAAATCAGTATCTCCACTCTCTACCTAAACGACACAGGAACTTTAAAACTCTGGCCACTATGTCTCCTAATTTACATGTTAATTGTTTGTATTTTAGGTCAAACTTGATCTTAACCCCCAAGTTGTTGTTATTATTGTATGCAGTTAGTGTTTATTTAGACTTAACCACATTCTTACCAATTCCTCTGATCATTCTTGCCCCTTGCATCTCAAATCTTCCCTCTGAGTTCACTTTCCATCTTTCTTTTTTTTTTTCTTTTTTATTGCATTTTAGGTTTTGGGGTACATGTGCAGAACGTGCAAAGTAGTTGCATAGGTACACACATAGCAGTGTGTTTTCCTGCCTTTCTGCCCCTCACCCACATTTGGCATTTCTCCCCAGGCTATCCCTCCCCAGCTCCCCTCCCCACTGTCCTCCCCATTTCCCCCAATAGACCATGATGTGTAGTACTCCCTTCCCTGTGTCCATGTGTTCTGATTTTTCCTTACCCACCTATGAGTGAGAATATGCGGTGTTTCATTTTCTGTTCTTGTGTCAGTTTGCTGAGAATGATGTTCTCCAGTTTCATCCATGTCCTTACAAACGACACGAACTCATCGTATTTGATTGCTGCATAGTATTCCATGGTGTCTATGTGCCACATTTTCCCAGTCCAGTCTATCATCGATGGGCATTTGGGTTGGTTCCAGGTCTTTGCTATTGTAAACAGTGCTGCAGTGAACATTCGTGTGCATGTGTCCTTATAGTAGAACCATTTATAGTCCTTTGGATATATACCCAGTAATGGGATTGCTGGGTCAAATGGAATTTCTATTTCTAAGGCCTTGAGAAATCGCCGCACTGTCTTCCACAATGGTTGAACTAATTTACACTCCCACCAGCAGTGCAAAAGTGTTCCTATTTCTCCACATCCTCTCCAGTATCTGTTGTCTCCAGATTTTTTAATGATCGCCATTCTAACTGGCATGAGATGGTATCTCAGTGTGGTTTTGATTTGCATCTCTCTAATGACCAGTGATGATGAGCATTTTTTCATATGATTGTTGGCCTCATGTATGTCTTCTTTTGTAAAGTGTCTGTTTATATCCTTTGCCCATTTTTGAATGGGCTTGTTTGGTTTTTTCCTTTGTAAATTCTGGATATCAGCCCTTTGTCAGATGGGTACGCTGCAAAAATTTTTTCCCATTCTGTTGGTTGCCGATTCACTCTAGTGACTGTTTCTGTTGACGTGCAGAAGCTGTGGAGTTTCATTAGGTCCCATTTGTTTATTTTGGCTTTTGTTGCCAATGCTTTTGGTGTTTGGGTCATGAAGTCCTTGCCTACTCCTATGTCCTGAATGGTTTTGCCTAGATTTTCTTCTAGGGTTTTTATGCTGCCAGGTCTTATGTTTAAGTCTTTAATCCATCTGGAGTTAATTTTAGTGTAAGGTGTCAGGAAGGGGTCCAGTTTCTGCTTTCTGCACATGGCTAGCCAGTTTTCCCAACACCATTGATTAAACAGGGAATCCTTTCCCCATTCCATGTTTTTGTCAGGTTTATCAAAGATTGTATGGTTGTAGATATGTTGTGTTGCCTCCGATGCCTCTCTTCTGTTCCATTGGTCTATATCTCTGTTTTGGTACCAGTACCATGCTGCTTTGATTACTGTAGCCTTGTAGTATAGTGTGAAGTCCGGTAGTGTGATTCCTCCTGCTGTGTTCTTTTTGCTTAGAATTGACTTGGCTATGCGGGCTCTCTTTTGGTTCCATATGAAATTCATGGTGGTTTTTTCCAGTTCTTTGAAGAAAGTCAATGGTAGCTTGATGGGGATAGCATTGCTTCTGTAAATTACTTTGGGCAATATAGCCATTTTCACGATATTGATTCTTCCTAACCACGAACATGGAATGTTTCTCCATCTGTTTGTGTCCTCTCTTATTTCGTTGAGCAGTGGTTTGTAGTTTTCCTTGAAGAGGTCCCTTACGTTCTTTCTAAGTTGTATTCCTAGGTATTTTATTGTTTTTGTAGCAACTGTGAATGGCAGTTCGTTCTTGATTTGGCTCTCTTTAAGTCTGTTATTGGTGTATCGGAATGCTTGTGATTTTTGCACATTGATTTTATATCCTGAGACTTAATGCTGAAGTTGCTTATCAGTTTCAGGAGTTTTTGGGCTGAGACGATGGGGTCTTCTAGGTATACTATCATGTCGTCTGCAAATAGAGACAATTTGGCTTCCTCCTTTCCTATTTGAATACCCTTTATTTCTTTTTCTTGCCTGATTGCTCTGGCTAGAACTTCCAGTACTATACTGAATTGGAGTGGGGAGAGAGGGCATCCTTGTCTAGTGCCAGATTTCAAAGGGAATGCTTCCAGTTTTTGTCCATTCAGTATGATATTGGCTGTTGGTTTGTTGTAAATAGCTTTTATTACTTTGAGATACATTCCATCTATACCAAGTTTATTGAGGGTTTTTAGCATAAAAGGCTGTTGAATTTTGTCAAATGCCTTCTCTGCATCAGTTGAGATAATCGTGTGGTTTTCGTTTTTGGTTCTGTTTATGTGGTGAATTACGTTTATAGACTTGCGTATGTTGAACCAGCCTTGCATCCCCGGGATGAATCCTACTTGATCGTGATGGATAAGTTTTTTGATGTGCTGTTGCAGTCAGTTTGCCAGTATTTTATTGAAGATTTTTGCATCTCTGTTCATCATGGATATTGGCCTGAAATTTTCTTTTCTTGTTAAGTCTCTCCCGGGTTTTGGGATCAGGATGATGTTGGTCTCATAAAATGATTTGGGAAGGATTCCCTATTTTTAGATTATTTGGAAAATTTTCAGAAGGAATGGTACCAGCTCCTCTTTGTGTGTCTGGTAGAATTCAGCTGTGAACCCATCTGGACCTGGGTTTTTTTTGTGTGGTAGGCTCTTAATTGCTGCCTCGACTTCAGACCTTGTTATTGGTCTGTTCATAGTTTCGGCTTCCTCCTGGTTTAGACTTGGGAGGACACAGATGTCCAGGAATTTATCCATTTCTTCTAGGTTTACTAGTTTATGTGCATAGAGTTGTTTGTAGTATTCTCTGGTGATGGTTTGAATTTCTGCGGAATCTGTGGTGATTTCCCCTTTATTGTTTTTTATTGCATCTATTTGGGTGTTCTCTCTTTTCTTTTTTATCAGCCTGGCTAGTGGTCTGTCTGTTTTGTTGATCTTTTCAAAAAACCAGCTCTTGGATTTATTGATTTTTTGAAGGGTTTTTCGTGTCTCTATCTCCTTCAGTTCTGCTCTGTTCTTAGTTATTTCTTGTCTTCTGCTATGTTTTGAGTTTTTTTGATCTTGCTCCTCTTGCTCTTTCAATTTTGATGTTAGGGTGTCAATTTTGGATCTCTCCACTCTTCTCATGTGGGCACTTATTGCTATATATTTTCCTCTAGAGACTGCTTTAAATGTGTCCCAGAGATTCTGGTATGTTGGGTCTACGTTCTCATTGGTTTCGAAGAACTTCTTTATTTCTGCCTTCATTTCATTGTTTATCCAATCAACATTCAAGAGCCAGTTGTTCAGTTTCCATGAAGCTGTGCAGTTCTGAGTTAGTTTCTGAATTCTGAGTTCTAACTTGATAGCACTATGGTCTGAGAGACTGTTTGTTATGATTTCAGTTGTTTTGCATTTGCTGAGGAGTGCTTTACTTCCAATTATGTGGTCAATTTTAGAGTAGGTGTGATGTGGTGCTGAGAAGAATGTATATTCTGTGGTTTTGGGGTGGAGAGTTCTGTAAATGTCTATCAGGTTTGCTTGTTCCAGGTCTGAGTTCAAGCACTGGATATCCTTGTTAATTTTCTGTCTGGTTGATCTGTCTAATATTGACAGTGGAGTGTTAAAGTCTCCCACTACTATTGTGTGGGAGTCTAAGTCTCTTTGTAAGTTGTTAAGAACTTGCCTTGTATATCTGGGTGCTCCTGTATTGGGTCCATGTATATTTACGATTGTTAGCTCTTCTTGTTGTATCGATCCTTTTGCCATTATGTAATGACCTTTTTTGTCTCTTTTGATCTTTGTTGCTTTAAAGTCTATTTTATCAGAGATGAGAATTGCTACTCCTGCTTTTTTTGCTCTCCATTTGCTTGGTAAATCTTCCTCCATCCCTTTATTTTGAGCCTTTGTGTATCCTTGCCTGTGAGATGGGTTTCCTGGATACAGCACGCCGATGGGTTTTGGACTTTTATCCAATTTGCCAGTCTGTGTCTTTTCATTGGTGCATTTAGCCCGTTTACATTTAGGGTTAATATTGTTATGTGTGAATTTGATACTGCCATTTTGATGCTAGCTGGCTGTTTTGCCCGTTAGTTGATGCAGATTCTTCTTTTTGTTGATGCTCTTTAGCATTTTGTATGTTTTTAGAATGGCCGGTACTGGTTGTTCCTTTCTATGTATAGTGCCTCTTTCAGGAGCTCTTGTAAAGCAGGCCTGATGGTGACAAAAATCTCTGAGTACTTGCTTGTTTGCAAAGGATTTTATTTTTCCTTCAGTTATGAAGCTCGGTTTGGCTGGATATGAGATTCTGGGTTGAAAGTTCTTTTCTTTGAGGATGTTGAACATTGGCCCCCACTCTCTTCTGGCTTGTAGAGTTTCTGCCAAGAGATCTGCTGTGAGTCTGATGGGCTTCCCTTTGTGGGTGACCCGACCTTTCTCTCTGGCTGCCCTTAGTATTTTCTCCTTCATTTCAACCCTGGTGAATCTGACGATCATGTGCCTTGGGGTTGCTCTTCTTGTGGAATATCTTTGTGGTGTTCTCTGTATTTCCTGGACTTTAATATTGGCCTGTCTTGCTAGGTGGGGGAAATTTTCCTGGATAGTGTCCTGAAGAGTATTTTCCAGCTTGGATTCATTCTCTTCGTCACATTCAGGTACACCTATCAAACGTAGGTTAGGTCTCTTCACATAGTCCCACATTTCTTGGAGACTTTGTTCATTCCTTTTTGCACTTTTTTCTCTAATCTTGGTTTCTCATTTAATTTCATTGAGTGGATCTTCGACTTCTGATATTCTGTCTTCTGCTTGGTCAATTCGGCTGTTGAAACTTGTGCATGCTTCGCGAAGTTCTCGTGTTGTGTTTTTCAGCTCCTTCAATTCATTCATATTCCTCTCTAAGTTGTCCATTCTTGTTATTTCCTCGAATCTTTTTTCAAATCTCTTTTCAAGGTTCTTAGTTTCTTTGCATTGGTTCTTTTAGCTCACAGAAGTTTCTCATTATCCACCTTCTGAAGTCTGATTCCGTCATTTTGTCACACTCATTCTCCGTCCAGCTTTGTTCCCTTGCTGGTGAGGAGTTTTGGTCCTTTGTAGGAGGCGAGGTGTTTTGGTTTCAGGTGTTTTCCTCCTTTTTGCGCTGGTTTCTTCCCATCTTTGTGGATTTATCCACCTGTCGTCTGAGTAGTTGCTGGCTTTTCGATTGGGTCTCTGAGTGTACGCCCAGATTGTTGATGCTGAAGTATTTCTGTTACTTAGTTTTCCTTTTAACAGTCTAGCCCCTCCACTGTACGACTGCTGAGGTCCACTTCAGTCCCTGCTGCTGTGCGCTCTGCCCTGCTGCGGTGGGCTTAGCCCTCCTGCTTTGGGCTCCGCCCTTCTGTTCTGGGCTCCGCCCTGTTGCCCGTGGGCTCTTCCTTGCTGTTGTGGGCTCCACCCTGTTGGCGGAGTCTCTCTGTTATGGCGGGTTGCTTTGGCAATGGCAGGCTGTGTCAGTAATGGGCGTGTACCTCAGTAAGGGCGGAATGCTTCAGTAGTGGCGGACACCCCTCCCCCACAGAGCTGCCCCGTCCTGTATTCAGTTGTGCCCACAGTGAAACTCTCAACCCCTAGCATTTCGAATGCAGTTTTGTTTGTCCCTGTGGGGGTGGGACCTGCCGAGCCTGATCACCTGGCTCCCTGCCTCAGAGCCCTTTCTCCCTCTTTTTTTTTTTTAAGTTGAACCAATGACTCTCTCCCAGGTGTTTTAGTTGCCTGCTAGTAGGGCAGTAGGATCTGTGGGATTTCCCGTGCAGGGGCTCACTGCACCGGCTCAAATGTCGCTTCCCGGGAATCTCCTTGTCTGGCTCACTGTCCAAGTCCCGTTTAATCAGATGGATATGCTAATCTGCCCTCCCAAATCTCAGATTGCCGGTTTAACAGGGCACCCAGATCAGCACGGGGTGCCGCTGCGCTGCAGCACCGGCCAAAACCGCTGGGCAAGCTGAGAGGGCTGCGCTGGCTTCCCGTGACTCTCCTACACCTGGGAATTTCCCCGTTCTGTGGGCAACAAAGATCCGTCTGAAAATGCGGCTAGGACTCACCCTCTGCGCCTTCAATGAATGCTGCAATCCTGAGTTGTTCCTACCACGCCGTCTTGGGAAACTTCCTCCATCTTTCTTTAGAAGCTTTTTTCAGTGAGAATTTGTTGCTAATAAACACACCCTTCTTTTTGTCTAAAAATTTCTTGGTAGGAGGGGTTCTTAATCCTAGTGATGCTTGGCTGAGTGAAAACTCTAGAATGACAGTTGTTTTCTCCCAGCACTTTGAAGGTATTACCCTCACTGTCTTCTGGCTTCTACTGTGGCCAGGAAATCTGCTGTCAGTCCAGTTTTCTTTTCTCTCAGGCTACTTTTAAGGTTTTTGTATCATTGTTGCTCTAAAGTTTCTCTCTAATATGTCTAGATGTTAATTTCTTTTCATTTATTAATATATTGCTTGGGATTAGTGGGACTTCCTGAATCTGAGGATTGGGATTCTTCATCAGGTCTGGAAAACTCTCAGATATTTTATCTTTAAAAATTCATCTCTCACATTTTCTCTATCATCTTCCTCTGGAAATACAATTGGATATATGTTACTCCTGCCTCTATTCTTCATGTCTCCTAAATTTTCCTTCCTATTTTCTATCTCTTTGTATCTTTTGCTGTATTCTAAGTAATTTCTTCAGCCTTATCTTCCAATCACTATTTCCTAAGTAGTATTTAAGTTCCTTACCCCATCCACTGAGTTTTCAATTTTAATGACTATATTTTTTATTTTTGAAATTCTATTTATTTTTCAATTCTATATCCTATTTTTGATGGCATCTTATTTCTTCCTCACATTTTTTTATTCCACCTTTTATTTCTTTAAAAGTTTCAAGCATATTTATTTTATATTGTGGCATCCCTTAAGTTTTTAGGGTTCTCTTCTTGTTTCTGCTTATTCTCACTCATGGTAGCTTATTTCCTTGTGTGTTATATGAGCTCCAGCTTGGCAAAAATTTATCTATGGGAATCTCACACAGCCTGAGTTGAGAGAATCCAGAGAGATTTCCATTTGCTTCTTCTAAGCAGTCCTGGGAGCTCATAACTTGGGACCACTTTTTATTAAACTCTCAGCAAAACATTCTTCAAACCACATGGGTAGTGTAGTTCTGAATCACCAACCCACCTGAGGGAAGTCTGGTGGTTATAAATTCTTACAGGAGGCTTTTCACTTATTTCCCCTGAGAGCCAAGGAAGACAGATACATTTTCTTGTTGTTTCTTTTTGCTTATTAAGGAACTTTTACTAAGAGTGTAAAGATTTGCCTTTTGAGGGTCTCAGATTTATGTGAGAGTCTGTCTCAACTCCCCACCTTATACACACCGGTGGTCTTGTCTTCTACTTCTGTAATGTTTTTAAAACTCAGAACTCTTAGTTACTATGATTGGCAAATGCCCCCAGGGCAACTGTGGTTTCTACATCCACTTATCACTTTTTTTTCCGTTTTTCTTCATTTTTGGGCCCTATATTTATAAAATTTCCCTTATTTTTTTGAAAGGTTGGTACTGCACTTAAGAAGACAATTTGCAGTGGGGGAGTTTTATTGTTGTCATTGTTATTTAGTCCACTGTATTGATACACTTATTTAGTCTACTATATTGATAGACCCCATTTAGCAGATGACGAAACTAAGACCCTAAGAAGGAAGTGAGTTGCCTAAGGTCATACTGCTGGGTCAACAATTGAACTGGCACTGGAACCAGATGTTCTTGATTCCTAGTTTAGAGTTCTTCCCCTCTGGGCAAATGTGCCTCACCTCCCTTTCTCACTCAAATATTTCTCTTATGTTTAGTCCTATGAGGATCTGGTTCAGCGTCTGGAGCCAGTTATAATGGAGCTAGAACGACAGGAGAATGTACTGGTAATCTGCCACCAGGCTGTCATGCGGTGCCTCCTGGCCTATTTCCTGGATAAGAGTTCAGGTACTACCCTCCTCTCTGTTTTGGGGAAGTTTGATGGGATTTGAGACATTGACACCAGTGATTAGATATCTATATCTTAGTAGTTAAGAGAAGAGTATCTAAAACAAGGATGCCTAGGTTCAGATTCTTTCTCTTTCAATACTAGCTGTACTACCTTTCACAAATTACTTTAACTTCTCTGGCCTCAATGTCCTCATCTGTAAAATGGGGAGAATAATGATGAATTTTAAATAACATAAAAAGTTTAGAACAGTTCATGACACATTCTATGTGCTATATGCTAGCTGCTATTATTAGTATGGTATTATTCTTAGCTAACATTTTCAAAGCCAACATTAACAATCTGCCTCAATCTGGAAAAGGTGAGCTAGTATTTCTCTGAAACATGCTACCATCAGGTGATAGTGGGGCCTTTCACAGATTCATGATCCTGATTACAAGTTTCTGTCCTTGCTATAGGGGTAATCTCCCCCAAGATGGTGATGTTTTTCATTTTAAATTGTTTTTCAAATGATAATTTATTTTTTTTTAAATATCTAGGCATTGCATTTACAGAGTGTTTACACACTGACTACATAGGCTGAACTGCAAACTGGGGCAGCTGGACTGGCAAAAAACTGTTATATCACTCCAAGTGTTAGCATTTCCAGGATATTTTTAAAGTGTCTCAGAACAATGCAAAATTATATTCAGTATTTTGCAGTATAGGATCTTTTCTTCGATGCTAGTTTGAAAATAAAGAACACTGTAATATGGAGTCATCCAGAATTGGAACCCGGGGCACTTGAGAGCTTGACATTAAATAAGGAATTTCCTCTCTCTGGTCCTCAATTTCTTCACTGAAAATTGGTGATAGGATGTGTGGTGGGGGTCCTTGCACTGCTAGATTTCTCTATGTTCACATATCTACTTTTCAGGGCAATGTTTTGAGACTATGAGGGAGGTGCTAGAACTCGTATTGCCCAGATGAGGAAATGGAAACCCGGAGAGGTGAAGTGACTGGCCCAAGGTCATGGGGCTCAGAGTGTCAGGGATAGACATAGATCCCAGGTACATGCCAGAGGACTTCCCCTCTCAGATATGCTTGGGGTGCTTCTTAAACACATGCCTCCTGTCCTGGGAGCCAGACAGGGCAGCACTTGACAGATATTCTTACCCCCTCCACCCCATTACTCAGGTGAATGCTGGAATAAGGCCCAGAAAGATGATGTGACTGAGAATGCAGACCCACAGAACCTCAGGGCTGGGGCACCCTCAGAGTACATCTAGTCCAATCTTGTCCTGTGAGATGAAACGCAGGACCAGAGAGAGAAGAGGCTGGACCAAGGTCACTAGTGGAGGCAGCGGCAGAGCTGGGTCAGAGATCTCCGGCAAGTCACTTCCCCTCTCGGAGTCTTTTTCCTCAAGTGTATAAGGAGGATGTACAGTAGTAGCATCCCAGCCTCACAGGGTCCCGGGTTCAAGTCCCTGCTCTGCCACTTCCTGGCTATGCAACTTGCGGAGAGCATCTTCCTTCTCGGAGCCTCAGTTGGCCAAAACCATGAAATGGGCTTACCACCTCCCCTTCATTCGGGCTTGCCCTAGAAATGGAAACAGGCCCAGACAAGAAATTGTACACAGATAATCAGAACAACTTTATGGATAATGTCAATAACTGGAAACAAGTGAATGCACGAATGCTCGTCCATCGCCAGGTCTGCGATGGGGGTGATCAGAGAGAGCAGGCCAGGCTGGGAGAAGGCTGTGGGAGCTGTCCAATGCCACAGCAGGGTCTCAGAAAACACTTGCTGGTGTGGACCATGGGGCTTTGCGGTGCTGGGTCTACAGAAGGCCCCAGGCTGGGGGCGGAAGAGAAACCTACCTGGGTCTCCTGTTTGCCATGTGAGTGAGGTGGTGGTCGTCTCCAGGGTGGACAGTCTGACCCTCCTGTGCGACATGTAGTCCAGTTCACTACCATTTTCTAGGGTGCTCCTGCCTCCCTGCTCTCTTCCCAGCTGCTCTCAGTGCTGCCTCTGCAGGGTGGTAGGGAATGGGCCCCTGGTGAAGCCCCACCACAACGAGGGGACGTGGAAGCAGGAGCATACAGCAAGCCTGGAGGCCTGGAGAGGCCATGTCCTGGCCAGCACCCTGCCTCTGAGAGCTGCTTCCTGTTCCTTTCTAGATGAGCTTCCGTATCTCAAGTGCCCTTTGCACACAGTGCTCAAACTCACTCCTGTGGCTTATGGTAAGTACTCCCACCCTGATCCAAGGACAGGCATATGGAGGCTATGAGCATGGCCCTAGTGCCTACCATTTGCCCAGAAGAGTCCTGCAGTAGGTTCCCTGGGTAGGTGGGTGGATGTCCTGGTGCGGATGGGACTGATGGTAGTAAGATAACATAGAGTAGGATGACTTCTAAATCTGGTGCTGGCTCTGACTTTCTGTGTCTCTGCCAGAGCACCCAGCACAGAGCACCAAGCTGTAGAAGGGGGCTTCCCCAAAGGGGACCAGAGGAAAATTGTAGGTTAGGATCATATTGGAGAAAGAACACAAAGACCAGCCTGGGCAATTCAGGCTCTTTCTTGGGGTATTAGCTATGAAAGGTCCATGAACAGGGAAGAGACAGAATTAAACCTATTCTGGGGTGTGAACAGGGCAGATGACCTACTGTAGCCTGTAATAAGGTGCAGCTCACAGGCATGAAGCTTCAGGAGCTTCCATAGGCATTAGGCAGCCTCTGTCAGCCCCAAGTCCCAGTGATACACCCTCCTCCGTCTTCAGGTTCCCTAGAACTCCCTTGTGACTTTCCACACTCCTGGTGTTGCCACAACCACATTGTCCTTCAGATAAACTTTGCCTGGCACTGATTGCCCAAGGCAGTGGCCCCAGGACTCTTCCACCTCCTCAGCACCTAACACAGCTTGGAGGATCTGCAGAGCTACATCAATATTACACAGATGAGATTGCTCTCATGTGGACCACAAGAGCTCTGGGCAGCCATAGACTTCATCTCTTATCTCCATCCCCATTTACAAATGTGCAGCTGAAGTGCAGAAAACTAAGACGGTTAGGGGCAGAGGTGACAGGATGCCCTGCTGGCTGCTTCCTAGGCCTGGTGTCTTCCCCACACATCACACAGCTGTCTGAATTCCCCTCCCTACAGGCGAGTGACAATCTGTACACAGTATGAAGCTGGGGGTGTGGGTGGTGACAGGGGGAGGTGATACCTGAGGGGAGACCTGCGCCTACCTCAGGGGCTTATGGACAGATGAATTGTTCTTTTCCAAGGCTGCAAGGTGGAGTCCATCTACCTGAATGTGGAGGCTGTGAACACACACCGGGAGAAGCCTGAGGTAGGTGGAGGACTCTGCTGCCCAAGCTGGCTGTGGACACAGCACATGGTGAAAGCACCTTCTCCACAGAAAGGCTGTCCCAACCCCACCGAGCCTGGGTGTTTTGCACCAAAAGGCAGAGCAACCAGCACCCAGAAATGCAGGAACCACAGCCCAGCCCTCAGGCACATGGAGATGAAGGGCTGGGCAATTCCTGCCAAAAAGGCCTCAGGCTGAGATTTCCACAAGGCCTACCTGAGGGTCAGGATCCAGGCCTGGCTAAAAGAGGGGAGCCTGGCAGTGAGGACAAGAGGCAGGGGAGGGGCTGGGACCCTACCCTGCTGTCTCCTTCCTATTAATCCTGCACTCTCTCCTCAGAATGTGGACATCACCCGGGAACCTGAGGAAGCCCTGGATACTGTCCCTGCCCACTACTGAGCCCTTTCCACAAAGTCAAACTGCCTGTGCCCTCGCCTTCCACCTTTAGGAAATGCTGTCCTTGCTCTTCTTCTATTTTGCCTTGTCCTCATGGAGGCACCCCACTTCCAGTGAGGAATTCCTCCGCAGCTCCCAAACAAGCCTTGCTTACTGGCTGCAACCAAGCAGCTATCTAGCTCTGGATGAAACTCACTTTCTTAATTCCTGTTCTCTGACGAATAAAGACTTACTGCCTACAAGAGGAGAGGAGGAGGTCATGGCAAGGCTTTTCCAATTGTTCTTAAGGTACTGATCCTAATCCTGACTCAGCTCTGCTGCTGAGAGCATGGAATGGGTGAGAACTTCCTGGAAGGAAGTTCTACAGTAGCACCTCCAAAGATGGGGGAGAAGATAGGTACCTGTGAGTGCCTGTGGGCCTTGTCCCTTGATGAGCAAGGTTGCTGGGGGCAAGACACTTTCATCTTTACACTCAAGAGAAGAATCTGGCACTTGAGCCAAGTGCTCCTCTCTTCTCCAGCTCTTGCTGCCATCCTGAGTGATTTCACTGTTTATGTGTATGATCTAACCAATACTCTGGCCTCCCAGTCCCCTGACCCCCTCAACTCGTGATCATCTTCTCCCCTTCAACCACCTGCTCCATGGATTTTGGTATCATCTCTCTGGTCTGACTTCTTAAATACAAGCATCCAACTGTCTGACCACTGCCCATTCCCCGACCCCAGGCATCCTTACTGTCATCCACTGAATCCCAGCAGCATGCCTCCATACAATAGGCATATATGTAGTATTACCTTTTTTTGTTTTTGAGACAGGGTCTCACTCTGTCACCCAGGCTGAAGTGTAGTGGTGCAATCTTAGTTCACTGCAGCCTCAAACTCCTGGGCTTAAGTAATCCTCCCACCCCAGCCTCTCTTACAAGTAGCTGGGACCACAGGTGCACACCACCATGCCCAGCGAAATTTGAATTTTTTTGTAGAGACAAGGTCTCACTATGTTATCCAGGCTAGTTTCGAACTCTTGTGCTCAAGCGATCCTCCCATTTTGGCCTCTCCCAAAGTGCTGGGATTACAGACATGAGCCACTGTGCCCAGCCTGTAGTATTTCTTGAATGAACAATATTTGTTGCTGTATAGCATCAAGAGCAGAGTCCTTTGAATGCTCATTGGTCCCCCAGTCTATCCTTAGTGTTCTGTCCCTAACTGTGTTGGATCCTATGGTCTATCTCTTCAGCCACTCTTCATGCAGCTACCATAAGCCAGGTGCCAGCAACCCAGTGGTAAAGAGACAGACTCATAAACTTGCTGCCTTTGTTCCCTTATCCTTCTATCACAACCACCCAGCAAGACCTAAACCTTGTGTAATCCACTTCTCCTTTTCTTGATATTGTCTACTACAAAAGTTGCTGATCACTGCTTGAAGCAGATCTATATTTATCTGCGTCCACAGCCACCCTTAAGTCCTATTCAAAATCAGGGTCATCTTCTCTGGTACCCTATTCCATCCTACCTTCTCAGGGATGGGCTACTTCAGTTAACTCCTGACTCTTCCATATCGATCTCCTATCCCTTTTAGCTTTTTCCCCACAGTCTATACAATATGCTCAAGTTTTCCTCTCCTATTCCAATCAAACCCTCCCTTGTTCCTATGTCTACACCTAGTGATTTCTGCCCTTCCCTCCATTCTTACACCAATGGCTCAAAATCAATCTGTACTTACTGTCCACAACCCTCTCCCTTTGCCTTCTGCTCCAGGCTTTCCCTGTCCATATCTTTCCTCAAGCTGTTATCCTCTTGCCTGCCATGAGTTCCCCAGGCTGCTATCCTGCTGAAGTCATACTTGCCTTTGAGCCAAAAGCTGGAGCCCCACGTTCTCCAAAGAGCTTTGCTGATCTCCAGCTTTTCTATGAACCCAAGATGCCACTCTAAAACTACCTAAGCATATTAAAAGACAGAAAAAAACTCCAATTCATGTTGCAAATTTAATGTAACTCTGATACCAAAATATGACAGCACACAGAAAGCAAACAATAAAACAGGAAAAGCAAACATTATTTCATCATGTGACACCCTCAGCTGATTGGTCGTAGCTGCTTAGACTGCTGTGTGGACAAAGATTCCAAGGATGTACTTTGGCTCCATGGGAAGGACTACTGCAATTTATTAGCGGTATCTGTAAACATGGGGAATAAATCTGAAATCAAAACAAATAGGAAAACATTTTAGCACCAAATATACTGTCTTCTCATAATTCCTTCATTGCCCTCATCTTTCCACCCCGCTCACCTGCCTCAGTGTTTCTTATAACATCTCCCTGCACTTATACCCATCCCTGTGGATCCTGGCTATGGAAATATTGCAATTACCTGAAATCTCACTAGCCATAGGAGAAGCCACAGGCACCAAGGCTGGCGGCTCCACTGCTGAAGCCAACACTGGTGCTCGGTCCACCACCAAAGCCAGCACCAGTGTTTGGTCCACCGCCGAAGCCAGCTCCCGTGCTTGGTCCACCGCTGAAGCCACTGGTGCTTGGTCCACTGCAGAAGCCAACACCAGTGCTTGGTCCACCACTGAAGCCAACAATAGAACTGGGTCCACTATTGAAGCCCGTGCTGGTGCTGGGTTCGCCAGTAAAGCCAGTGCTGGTGTTGGAACCACTGCCAAAGCCAATGATGGTACTCAGTCCTCTGTCGAAGCTGGCATTAGGCCTACTGCCAAAGCCATCGCTGGTGCTGAGGCCACCACTAAAGCCAGCACTGGTGCCAAGTGTGCTGCCGAAACTAGCATTGGTGCCCAGTCCACCACCAAAGGCACCACTAGTGACCAGTCCACCACCAAAGCCAGCACTGGTGCCCAGTCCGCCACTGAAGCCAGCGCTGGTGCCCAGTCCACCACCAAAGCCAGTGCTGGTGCCTGGTCCTCCACCGAAGCCAGCACTGGTACCTAGCCCACCATCAAGGCCAGAACTGGAACTTAGGCCACCACTGAAGCCAGCACTGGTGCCTAGGCCACCGGTGCTCAGTCCACCACCAAATCCAGCACTGGTGGTTAACCCGTTGCCAAAGCTGAAGCCGGTACTGGTACTGGGTCCATCACCAAAACTAGGGCTGGTAGCACCACTAAAGCAGGCACTGGTGCTAGGAGGGCCATCAAAGCATAGGTTAGTATTAGATGCACTGCCAAAGCAAAGGCTGGTGCTGGGAGCTCCACCAAAACAGAGACTGGTGCTGTGAGCACCACCAAAGCTGACACTGGTGCTGGGAGCAGCACCAAAGCCAATGCTGTTGCTGGGAGTACCACCAAAGTCAGTAGTGGTACTAAGTGCCCCACTGAAGCCAGCACTGGTGCTGAATGCACCACCAAAGCCAGGGTTGGTGCTGGGTGCACCACTGAAGC